TTAACCTTCGACAGCCTTTCGCCTTTGTTTGGATTCCTAGCCTATCTGTGTCGTTTCGAGATGTTAGTGAGTAACCCTCAAAATGGCTGTCCCCAATGTGACATCTAACACAGGTATCCTGAAACCGCGAGCCGCGTTCAAGCTGGCCACCTACAATGTTCGGACGCTGATGCAAATCGGACAACAGGAAGGGTTGGTAAGAACGTTGGAAAGCCTCGCTATCGATGTCTGCTGCATTTCGGAGACTTGCATTCAAGATCCCAGTGAAGTGCTTCGATTATCCTCTCCATCTGGAAGTTCTAGTAGTATGTACCACCTGCGCTTGTCCGGAGACCCTGTGGCGTCGGCATCCGGCGTAGCTGGTGTCGGCGTCATACTGAGCGCTAGGGCCGAAGCTGCACAGCTCGACTGGATTCCCATTAACAGTCGTTTATGTGCTGTGAGGCTGGAAGGTTATACGAAAGTAAGGAGTAGTAGGCCGGATAGGCGGTGTCTATTTGTTGTCTCTGCCTAATTCCAACCGTATAATGAAGGCTAGGGTGGCATACATCAACTTGAGCAAACTCTGGCGCCGTCCCAATGTTAGCCTGGCTGTCAAAGGTCGGCTATACTATGCTTCGGTGTGGGCTGTCTTGCTCTACGCCTGTGAAACCTGGCCTCTCCGAGCTGAGAATGTGCGGCGACTCTGCGTGTTCGATCATCACTGTCTCCGCAGGATTGCTTGAGTTCGATGGCATCATCGTGTGAGTAATTCTTAGGTCCAAAGGCGTGTGTTTGAACGCAGTGGAGATCACCATTCGTTGGATGTCGTCATCTGGAAACACCAGCTCCGGTGGCTTGGACATGTGTTGCGAATGTCATCCCAGAGGCTTCCGTACAGGTCTCTGTTCGCTGTCTAGCCCTGGGACGGGGTGGAAAAGGCGGAGGGGTGGTCAGTCCATGACGTGGCGTCGTGGGATGAAGGATATTTGTGCTAGATTAGCATCGGTTGGTGTGTCACGACTCCCTGGTTAGGGTCCGCGAGATAGCCCGAATCGATGGCTCGAAACGTTATCGGATATGGCCAAGAATCGTAATCAATGGCGAACGTGTTGCAATTTCCTTCTTTCTTCCCTTCCTGATGATAGTTAACGAATGCTGTTTGAACTTGTTAAACATGACTGTTTTCCTTCCAGATGAAGTTCTTTATCCGTTTTTTACTTATATTTTTACTTTTAATCTATGTTCTTTTATTATTATTGTGTGGCGCATCTTTCTTGGTGCCATATTGTACCAAGTGTTTTCTGCGTTTAAATAAATAATAAAATTCAATAAGGAATATTACAGGCAAATTGATGGTGTAGCTATGGGTTCCCCATTAGGTCCAATCCTAGCTGATTTTTTCCTCGCTAAATTAGAGAATGGACCACTGAAAGGAGTAATTAATGACATGGATTTCTACTGTCGATATATGGATGACACACTTGTGGCTATGAAAGACGAGAATGATGCAATGAATATCCTTGACAAGTTTAATGATGCACATTCAGCAATAAACTTTACCATAGAGAAAGAAAGTAATGACAGTATCTCATTCCTAGACGTCTTCATGGCAAGGAAAGATGATGGCACACTAAGAAGGAGTGTGTATAGCAAACCTACAACAATAGGTCAGTACACTCATTTTTTGAGTTTTGTACCTTTGAAATATAAACGTAACCTGGTAAAGTGTCTGGTTCATAGAGCTAAGTTAATCTCTTCAGACGACTTCCTCAATGAGGAGCTTAAGATTATTAAAGAATTACTTAGAAAAAAATGGTTATCCAGATAAATTTATTGAGAAGAATATGAATTCAGCACCAAGGAGAGTCAGTATTGCTACAGTTTCGAAAAAACCAATGTTCATAAAATTGCAGTTCCTCGGTGACAACATCAGCGAAATCATAACACAGCGCCTGAAGAATGCAGTTAAAAGAGCTTATTATGCAGCAGAGGTACGTTGTCTCTTCAAAACCACCCCTATTCTATGTTCGAGAAATAAGGATAAACTACCTAATTTTGCCTCTTCTATGTGTGTCTACCAGTTTGACTGCAGCTGCGGAGCCAGCTACATTGGGCGTACAATTAGGCAGTTTCATCGTCGTATTTCTGAACATCATCCAGCGTGGTTAAGCAAAGGACAAACAAGATCTATTCGTAGTTCTATTTTAGCACACCTTGTTGATACTGAGCATAAGGTTGATGTGAATACTGCATTTAAAATTATTTATCGCATTCCGACTAATCTTAACTTTGCTCTACGAGTTCGTCTTCTACAGACAGCTGAAGTAATCGGAATCCACCAGAAGAAACCAAGCCTATGTGTACAGAAGAAATTTGTACAGCCACTTTCCTTACCGTGGCCATCGTTACAAGACAGGACTACGTCGCCCCCCTCCCCCTCCCCCTAAACCTATTAAATTATAATTGTCCAAATTATTTTATTTTATTTATTTTGACCACTTCATCTTTAATTACGTGTTATCCTTGTAAAATTAATTTATTCTATCCATTTCTACCTTTTTAATGTGTATTGATTTTCTTCGTTAATTATCCACCCATTGACATTTTGACACTGTTTAATTATTGTTAAGAAACATATCAGTGGCACTTGATTGGTAAACTGTTGTGTATTGTAATAAAAAGTGCTATAGGTGTATATTAGAGTAGAGCCAGAGATGAGGATCTAATTGAAAAGTAAATATTTCTTCGCTCAATCTTTCTGTTTTCCAAATATTCTAGAATATTCTATGCATATATGCATATATGTGTCGATGGCATGGTGGTTAGGACGCTCGCCGACTATGCACATGGTCCGGGGTTCGATCCCCGGCCAACGACGCACCTTTACCTCGCTAATCCAGAAATAACGCTGGTGAAGACGAAAGGTTGGGCATGAGGCTAGCAACCCCATCCTGTAAAATAAGCACTGCTACGGAAACTTCAAGCCACTAGCTTGAAACCCTATGTTCCACTGCGGAACGTGAAGGAAATATATATATATATAATTGTAGAGCCAGAAGAGGACATTGTCGAAAAGGATATTCTTGACTCAATTATTTTGTGTTTCATAGATGTTTGAATGAATATTTTCGCTATATTTTAAAATGCCCATTACACACTAAAACACATTCCTGTGGGTAGATATATAATTATCTATCCTGTTTTGATTCGATATATGAGGTAACTATCCACAACTAGCGTACTACTTTTCAGATAAACAATCGTTGGTGTTTCTTGATACTAGGGTTGTGTTCGATTCGCTGGGCAAAACTGCACTGCACTCTGGAGTTGTGTGTTAGCGAGAAAGAGAGAGAGGGAGAGAAGTCCTTTAACATCGTGAAAACATTGAAGATTACTTTCTCTTCAAGTACCTAAGAAAACACATGGATTAATAGTGGTCGTCATATCGACCAGAAGGTGTGAGACTACAGGGACAGCTTCTTGAGATGCAGTCGCGATGGAATCGCGTCCACTGACTCCCGCTTGTCAGCATCACATATTTATGGGAATATGGAAACATATTTTTTTCAGAATCTATCCGTTGCTTCTCATAGAGTGAAAATAACATCGTTAAAAGCACTTGTTATATATAATCCGCAACAGACATGAAACAAAGTAGGAGGCTTGAATTTACCGACGTCTTTGTATGTGTCGAAATTTACACTGAATAGCTTTACGTATTTTATGCATTCCATGAATATCAAAACCCATACACTAATAACTATGATCTAAGTCGAATCCATAAAGCAATGAAGCAATGCGGGGGGGGGAGTTGCGTTCCTATGGTTTCCGGTGGCTAAATAAAGGTTCATACACCATTTGATCCTTTAAGTATTCTAAGGCCCATGTACACACCACAGGTTTGGAATCAGAGTTTTCCACTAGATATTCCTTAACTAGATAGACTAGCATGTCTATCAGTCCGGTTGTAAGCACCAGATGTTCAGAATTTCCCTTTCATAGGAATAGGACTTACTCTCAGTAGACTAGGAACGCACCGAATCTCTACACCCTCCTTTATAGCTGTCAGTGAGACACGATAGCCATTTCAAGTGGAAGACATGAAAGGCCTGGCTAACTGTCTGCCTTCTATCTCCCGTGTTAAGTGGTGGTATAGTGTTATAGGGTGAGTAATATTGAAGTGAGACATCGGTTGAGTGCTATTAGGCAGGGGGGGGGGAAAGTCCATCGACGAGATTGTGAAGTTACACAGATTGAGATGGTTAGGATATGTGTGATGCATGCATGACTAGCCATCCAGAGCCTTCCTCGACAACTAACAATGTTAGCTGACACAGGATGAATCAGGTTGTTGGAAAAGACCTAGTGGTTGGTGGTCAAACCGAAACTTGGCGGCATCAGTCAATGAAATCCACAACAGTTAGTTTAAGCCAGCCAAGTAGGGAGGCGTAAACTTCCTAACTGGTTTGGTTCGTGTCCTAGGGATGGTAAGAACCAATCAAGATTGGAGACAATTATCGGTGATATGGCTCAGAATCCTTATTCTCAATGGCTAGCGCAGATGCATCCACTCATTATGACTTATAATATTCAATAAAACTCTATTGTTCTTCCATATTAACACCATTCTTTTACACCCAGTCACACTTCTGTTTATTATCTCTCTCTCTATCTTTTGAATCTCTGTTTGCTCTTGTCTTTTGCTCTATGTGTGGTACATGGAGGGAGAGTGGCAAGTTGAAGTGCTGCACATCTGTGCGAAGTACTACCTTTGTTGAAACCAGTCAGTTAGTCAATCAATCAGTCCCCTAGGTTAAGCCACCAGCATGTCCACCACTATAGTTGTGAACACCAGACTATCACATTCGCCTCCCACCACCCCCCCCCACCGCTTTCCGCACTAATTTTGCATCCTTATCAAAATGAGAAAATGATGAAAGGTGTATTTTAGACACTAACCCCTTTTTTCGTGTCATAGACACTGGTAAAATAAAAAGTAGGGCATTAACCACACTCACCTGCATACTGCCTCATTAATATCTTTGTAGTTTTCTTCGACTTCTAAGTTGTTAGCCTTACAATCACCTTTTAACTCTTTTACATTGAGTATTTTTTCCCAGTTTTCTTTTTCACCAACTATTGAACATTCACATATCAATTTATTGATTGAATCTTCTAAATCAATTAAAGTTTGATGTAATTTTAACAAATATGAACAATTTGTATGCATGTCTAATAGTTCTTGTAGTTGATTAAAGGCTTCTTCATGAAACGCTGAAGCTGATGACACCCTTTTATCATCTTCATTGAGTAGATTAAATTTGACAGACTTTAATTGAGGTATAACCTATAGGAAATAAAGAAAAGGTTGGGGGAGGAAGAAACGTCAAAAATAACTTGTTTAAAATAATAATAATAATAGTTATGATCAGTAGGGTACAGCAGGTTGAAGATGAGGTAGTAACTCATCGAAGAAGACATTGTGAAGTGGTCGTGCTATGTCATGAATTGGCAGAAGTTAGAATTCATGGATTGGCCATTGGATCAGGTCCCAGTGGCTTAATGGTCTACAAGCTCGCTAGCCTTGTAACCAGAAGGTATTGGGTTCGAACCCCACGGTGTGGATGCGCACTACTGAGGAGTCCCAAACTAGGATGAAACAGTTGTCCAGTACTCCCTGCAGGTTTTTCACTGGTTCTCTAACTGATATCAGCTCATGATGAACTCCTTCATTCAATCAAAACAAAATCCCTACAAAACAACCAATACTTGAAAATGACGATAGTAATAGAAAGACTTTACAACACTTAACGTTGTATCTCACAGGAGGTGTTTTTCAATGTCATAAAATAAAACAAAGAGGTGTACATATGAAAGAGTGGATAATACCGTAAATAAATAACTTGAATTTTTGTATAACAGAATTTTACAAAAAATAATCCTAATTCCCTGATATCAGAATAGAACTTGTGCACAGTCGTGGCGGTAGAGTATAATTCTATTATGGATAAAATTTATTTTGATAAAGTCTCACACAATGGTGTTATACAGTAAGTAATATTTACTGACGACAACCACGTTTCGAGCACAATTTATTACTGCTCATAATCATCATACCTAGGCACTTCGCACACGCAAAAATTATTTATTTATTCATTTAAACGCAAAAAAACTTGGTACAATATGGCACCAAAAAGATGCGCCACACAACAATAATAAAACAACATAGATTAAAAGTAAAAATATAGGTAGAAAACGGATAAAGAACTTCATCAAGAAGGAAAACAGTCATGTTTAACAAGTTCAATCAGCATTCGTTAACTATCATCAGGAAGGGAAGAAAGAAGGAAATTGCAGCACGTTCGCCATTGATGACTGCGATTCTTGGCCATATCCGATAACGTTTCGAGCCATCGATTCGAGCTATCTCGCGGACCCCAACCAGGGAGTCGTGACGCACCAACCGATGCTAATCTAGTACAAATATCCTTCATCCCACGACGCCACGTCATGGACTGACCACCCCTACGCCTTTTCCATCCCGTCCCAGGGCTGGACAGCGAACAGAGACCTGTACGGAAGCCTCTGGGATGACATTCGCAACACATGTCCAAGCCACCGGAGCTGGTGTTTCCAGATGACGACACTCAATGAATGGTGATCTCCACTGTGTTCAAACACACGCCTTTGAACCTCAGAATTACTCACGCGATGATGCCATCGAACTCAAGCAACCCTGCGGAGACAGCGATGATCGAACACACAGAGTCGCCGCACATCCTCAGCCTACTCGGAGAGGCCAGGTTTCACAGGCGTAGAGCAAGACAGCCCACACCGAAGCATTGTATAGCCGACCTTTGACAGCCAGGCTAACGTCACGACGGCGCCAGAGTTTGCTCAAGTTGATGTGTGCCACCCTAGCCTTTATTATACGGTTGGAAATCTCATCCGTCACCCCTCCGCCACAACTCAAACAACTACCTACATACAAAAACTTATCAACAACTTAAAGAGATTCACCTGCAACAGTGAGTGCAGGTACAGGCTCCTGCCAATCTTGTAACAGTACTTTGCACTTAGACGGAGCAAAGCACATACCATGCTTACTCACACTGATCGCCAACTGATTAAGTGCGATTTGGTCAGCCTGCATGTTATCGCACAGTAAAACGATATCGTCTGCATACTCGAGGTCGAAAACTCTATCTCCAGCTAGCAGATCTAGACTACCTTCATACACAACCTTCAGAGCTGACTCCAGAATGTCATCGATGGCAGAGTTGAAGAGAAATGGAGAGATTGGGCAACCCTGTCTAACCCCACTGTTGGTTGGGAACAGTGATGACGGTTGGTTGGTTGTATGCCCTCACTCTACCTGAGGTGTTTCTGTATAAGGCTTTCAAGGTGTTAACAAATTTCTCAGGTACACCTCTCTCTAACAGACAGTTTCAGAGCACAGTTCTGTCCAACGAATCGCAGGAAGCACTAATATCAAGAAACACTACGATTGATGACCTGCAGTACGTGAGGCGGTGTTCCAACAACTGACGAAGGGTGAACACATGATCAATGCATCCACGACCTAAACAAAACCCAACCTAATCCTAATATCCACACACATTTGTATAAAAACGCATGTCATGTAAGACTTCCCTTCTTCATATGTCCCCCTATTTTCGGATATAATAGTGGTAAATTCTTTGCAGATGACTAGACAGTTCGTTGTAATCAAGGCCCTGGCTCTAGACCAGATTTTCATAGTTTCCACAGTGTGGGTGGTTGGTAGACCTGTGATCATCCCGTGGTCGTTCTCCTGAACGGAAGTCATGGGACATGCAGCGGCTGCACCGGGTCCCATGACTTATGAGTTCCTTTTGTTGGTGCGCTGCAGTTACTTGACACTTTTTAGTAGTGTTCCTTATCAGATGATTTTGAGAAAGCCATTACAGTGAATTAAGAATAGAAAACTTGTGCATAGTGGTAGTAGAGTATAATTTCATTATGGATATAAAATTTATTTTGATAAAGTCTCACAGTAGTGTTATACAGCAAGTAATATTTACTGATGACGTTTTGTTTTCCTAAATTACTTATCTTCGCGGGTTCAACCATTCTAACCTTATCTAAATTCTTATGTTCCGAAAAATCTGACTACCCCTGATCTACTAATTTAGAAAAAAGCTCAGCGATTGCACTGCATACATTAACACATAAACACACAATAGGTTGATTGGGACAGAGTCAAAATTCTAAAAAGTAATACAGGTAGGTGGAGATAGAGAGAGGTGGTTGATTACTGAATCCTGGTTCATCGAGTCTAACTACACGTGTAATAGGAATGACTCAACACCAATACCACAGATATATGGAAAATACTACTACCGATCATCAAATCAAGCGATGAGTGGAAATAATGGAATTATATAAACCGAATTAGGTTGTGTGATTAGTGCCTTGATATGATTATGAGCAGTAATAAATTGTGCTCGAAACGTGGTTATCATCAGTAAATATTACTCATCGTATAACACCACTGTGTGAGACTTTATCAAAATAAATTTTACCCATAATTTAATTAATTCCCCTTTTAAACTGTTGGTAAACATTCATTACTTTTGTCTAATTCAAAAATGAAATCAAACATTTGTTATGTGAACGATATGAAAGAGTTTGAAAAATCCAATTACCCATGAAAGCACTGATCACGCTATTACAAAAAATAGATAGGTACTATAGGTCGGTCGGTCGGTCGGTTTTCGATACAGAACTTTGCACATATGTGCGGCAGTTCAAGTCGCCACACTCCCTCCTTGTAGCACACAAAGCAAGAGAATAAAGTAGGAGAAATGCTGGATTCAACATAGAACTTGGCACCGAAGTGCAGCAATTCGAGTTGCCACGTTCCAAATAGCACACAAAGGTAGACAGGAAAATGAGAGAAGAGAATCAATAGAATTTAGATAAGTAAGAGTGAAACAGAATGAGTAATGGTAGAAAGGAATATGAAGGTTAAAGGGACTGAATACATCTGCGCCATTGACAACGATTTTGAGAAAGTAGGAGAAATGCATATCAGAGACAGTAAACAGAGGTGTGAGACAAAAGAATAGTAATAAGGAAGAACAAAACAGTTTCATTGGAAATCATAAGTCACAAGGAGTGGATGCATCTGCGCCAGCCATTGAGAACGATTTCGAGCCATATCACCAATTGTTTCCAACCATTGGCTTTTACCGTCCCGAGGACCCCCACAACCAGTCAGGAAGTCTACACCTCCCTACGTGGTCTAGACTAACTGTTGTAGATTTCATTGACTGGTGCCATGTTTTCGTTTGACCGCCGCTAGCTCTTTTCCAGCCTGACCACTATATCAGCTAACATTGCCCATTGTCGAGGAAGGCGATGACTAGGCATACGTAACACATGTCCTAACCATCTCAGTCGATGTAATTTCACAGTTTCGTCGACTGATTTCCCCGCCTTACCTAGCACTCGATAGGTACTATAACACAGTCACTATTGTCGTAGAGTCCCAAAACAACAATGAAACAGCTGTCCAGTACTTCCCTGATGTTTAATGCTTCTCTGACTGATATCAATCCATGATGATCAAACTTAAAACAAATGAAATTAATCTGATGCACCCTAGTGACAGCCCCCCCCCCCCTGGATGAGGCTGCCTGGAGTTCTAGTGAGAAGTCATAACCAGTTGGGTTAATAAGGTTGGCGGTCGGCGGGTCACAAAGAATATTTTTAACAGGTTGCAGATATTTATCAATAACTGTCTTCGTTCTATACTCAAGATCAGATGGCCACCGGAAAGAATAACCAACAAGAAACTATGGGAACAAACAAAACAAGAACCAATCGCTCAACAAATATGCAGGAGAAAGTGGAGATGGATTGGACACTCGCTGAGGAGGCCGCTGGGTGACATCGCACGTCAGGCCATAGCTCGAGTGGAACCCGAAAGGGAAGCGGCGAGTGGGACGTCCAAGGGTGACATGGAGGAGATCGTGTGAAGAAGAGTTGAAACAGTATGGACTAACATGGATGCAGGTGAAAAGTGCAGCAGAAGACAGAAACAAGTGGAGACGTGCAGTTGAAGCCTTATGTTCCACTAGGAACCCAAGGGAACAATAATAATAATAATGAGGATGATATTGGCTGGTGCCAGTCGAGCTAAAACTACGGATTGGTAGAAGTTGAAATTCATGGTTTGACGGTTGGAATCAGGTCCCAATAGCTGAATGGTCTTCAAGCTTGTCGTATAATCGGACCGGAAGGTGTTGGGTTCGAACCCCACTGGTAGGTTACTACTAGAGAATCCCCAAACCAGGACGAAATAAATAATCAATACTCCCTGGTTTTTAGTGGTTCTCTAACTGATATGAATCCGTGATCGATCCTGAGACTAGGACTACATAATAGAAAAATCAATAACAGCATAACCCACTACTACTAACTGCATAATAGTCCAAGTTCGTATAGCGCCATAAAGCAGAGAAGAAAAGAACATAGAAGACTAGTTATCATTGTATATGTACCATTATGATCCATCTTCAGTTAGATTACTTAATTTCTAAACATCGTTTACTATGAATACCAATCTGAAAACCAACACTTTCTCATATGGCTTAGCTTATTGTCAACGAATAGTCAACAGTTCTACTATATATGTCAGCCTTCAATACTTTTAGTTCCTAGCCTTGATAGTCGTTTACACCAGCTGTACTCCTTTGGTTGTTTCTACACTTCTGCTTATAGCCTTAATGAATTGGTGGTTTCTGTCAGCTTAAGACCAACAGTTTGTAAATCGAGAGAATAAGAAACATGTAAACCTCTGAGATGTTTGGCATACAATTCGCTCCCTTTGTCAAATGTAAGATGATACTACAGGACTGGTTGGACTACGTTGATTCACTCCTAGATTATAAATAAACGGGAGTGAAGTGGAAGGTCACCTTGACCGCTTCACTTATTTCGCGAGTTGCATCAGCCAACGCCAGCGGGTTGATCGCTGACGAAATCTCTCCACGGATATAGAAGGCTAGTTTCGCAAATGCCAGTTTACGCCATTTCTAGCTTAGTAGACGTGATATCCAGCTGTCTATCGACCAAACGGCGGGTGTACTGCTCAGCAGTCCACTCCGTCCTCCTTTATGGCTAGCTGTGAGTGACACATGGCCATTCAAAGTGAAGACATGAAAAATCTGGCTAGCTGTCTTTGATCATACGTACCTGCCTTCTATCTGCGGTGTGAAGTGGTAGAATAGGGTGAGCAATATTGAGGTTAGGCATCGGTCGAAAGTGTATCGATCAAAGTTGAGGAGTAAAAACAAAGATGGGAAGAACTATTGACAAATTAGATAAGTGGGAAGATGAATGAAAACCTTTACGAAGAAATGCATACAGGACATTTTTCAATACGTAGACATGTGTCCCCGATATCTGGAAAATTCTACTACCCCTACGACGACAAATAGGAGAGAACAAAGAAAACTATAAAACTCAAGTGTCGAAGTCGTGTGATTACAATTGATATGATTATGAACAAAAAATTTTGTTCGAAACGTCATCCAGTAAATAATACTGTTTCACTGTGTGATATATCTAATAAACAAACTAATATGGAAAGTCAGTATGGAACACGTGCTTAGACTCCAACCATACTCTGGTTGGTGCACGTTTATGCTTACGTCTAAACGGACATAAAAACTGTTGGTAGCACAGCGAAGCAATTACGCACCCCCCCCCCAGATTGATCATGACACTAACTCCCTATTTAAGGAAGAAATAGCGAAACGAGTATCTGAGGTCGACAGTAGGACCACGCCGGAGGAAGTCTGGCACAATGTACAGTTAGCTGTAGACACAGCTGTAAAGGCTGTTAATAAGCTAAAACCAAAAGTAAGTAAGAGCCAGTGGATTTCCATTATCTCATCCAAAATGATTAACGCAACAAAAATGTCGGAGCTCCAAATATGATGAGAAGCGAAAGCTGCTCAAACGCAAACTAACAAGAAGTCTTCGTAACGATCACAAACAGTGGTGGGCGAGAGATGGAAAAGGCATCGGTGATAAGTAACACCAGACAACTATTTAGACTTGTCAGGGAAAGAGGTGGCAAAAGACAAATGATAAGTGAAACAATCTCCAAGAAAAACGGTACCATATTTAGCTCACAGGATAGACGACTGGAAGCTTGGAAAGAACACTTTGAGGAGAAATTTAATTGGCCTACAGCCACGTTTAACTTACGCAGCATCCTCGGAATGGCAAAAACCAGTGCCTGAAGACAATTGGTAATATGGCTCAAAATTGTCTTCAGTGGCGCAGATGCATTCACTCTCAGTAATTTATACTATCCGATAAAATTCTATTGTTCTCCCATATTGCTATTCTTTTTGCCTTATATTTCTGTTTAACTTTCTTTTGAATCTCTCTTGCTTTGTGTGTTACAACTAGGGGGAGAGTGACAACTCGAAATGCTGCACATCTATGCAAAGTTGTACGTTGGAAACAGTCAGTCAATACTAAACCGCTGTAACTAACAATTTCAACACATTGCCAAAGTTTTCTTAAAAGACTTGCACAACCCCAAATGTTCCCAGAGTTTTACTACCAGGTGCGTTACATATAGGTAAACAAGCGGTTCACCTACAACCAGATTTCGAAGCATTCTCCGAATGTAACAGTGTTACAAACAACTAAATAGGAAATAAAATTGTTGAAAAAGGCCTGCGACAGCCTTTTTGCTATAAATAAATATAGAAAGGAGTGAAGTTTTAAAAGAGTCTTAGACACAAAACACTTATTAATACCGGAGAAAAATATGACCTAACCTTTCCTCTTGCAGTCTCATATATACACCGGCAATGCTCTCCCAAAGCATCGAATTCGTCAACCAATTGTTTAAATTGTGATTGAACAGGCTGGAAATCATGATGACTTTGTAAATGAGTCAGTAGATCAGACTTAGCATTCAATAACTCCAACCTTAATGATACAATATCGTCTGTCATTACTCTTGCAGTACATCAACCAACAAGTTAACCAAAATCTGAAAAATAAGAAGAAAGAAAACAGAACGTGAGCGATAATCAAACAAGTTCTTCTGCAGGCAGGAAGTGTAGCATAATTAATGTGAGTGCAGTCGTATAAGAACACGCTTGGGAGTGCACACACCCACGTGATATGTCAGATGAAGATTAATTGTTTTTACGATGGTGATGCATTTTCTACACTTTGTTTGGATGACAGAAATTTTTGAAATGACAGTAGAATTTCCTGCTGAACTTACTTTACAAACAACACCTAAGAACTACTCCACGGACGTAATTTCCTATGCCCGCCAGTGAGAGAAACAAAC